GTCAATGAAAACAGAATAGAATGACATGACGAGACAATACAATGTCATTCCGGAAGAATCATACGATGAATACTCGTATCATTAGGAAAATTTACTAATGACATTAGTGATATAAACATAGTAACGTAATAACTGTCGTCATTTGCAATTCTTCATTTCAAATTATGGTATATGACGTAATTGATGGGTCAATTGGAGGATGATATTTTTTTTTATAATTGCATTGCGAAAAATAATACAAGGAAAACAAACATATTGTTTATAAATGAATCATGTGATAAGGCATAAATGTGAAAGGCGAAACTAAAATTATTATTTTTTTTGATGATGGATAATTGCTTAAAGAAATTTAAAAAAGAAATTTTTTTTTCTAAAAAAAAGGGGATGCAAATTTTTGCGGTATGCGGTTGTTTTTTTTTTTTCGAATTAATAAAAGTTCACGTGAATTTTTGAAGCTCCAATGATTGGAGGAATAACGAAAATTGTTTGAATATCGAAGAATGCGAACGATTTCGCACGAAACAACTAATTTCTCTGTCTAAGATTCACGCTCCTCAGTCCGTATGTCAACTCGACTTGCTTACGCGCTTCAGCCGAAATAAGGATGATCAGACATTTCTCTCTGTCATTTAGTTGAAGTCCGACGTTGTTCCAGTCGTCGTACGTGAAGTCCTCGGGTCTCGTACATATCTGCAATTGAAAACAAAAATCAAGGGTCAGTCAGCCATCACACAAAGGGTCTTATATTTATAGAAAGCGTGATATAGGAAATTGGTGTGTCAAGTGCTAATTAGGCAATAGGTAAAATGATCCCACCTTCTTTATAAAATTTCTGATTTTACTATTCAGAAGTCTACTAATGTCATTGTATGTGTAGTCATCCGCGGTTATTCCGTATAATCGACAAGCGTAATACCAAATTACTTCTCGAAAGGGCAAGTCGTCCAATTGGGAGTCAAAGGAAAAAAATCTGATTCAGATCGTACGTACGTACATACGTGTGAAAGTTAGTTGGACATGATCGGAACGCACGAGACAAAATACAGCATATCGTATAAAGCGCGCTTTCAGTTTGAAGACGTTTGATCACAAGAACGCCAACTGATCACGCGTGTTTTGGACATTATTGAAAAGAAATTGAATATTTACTTGAAATCACTCATTGCTCGAATCTCCTTAAGTTCATCATCCAACTTATTACCAGAATGCAGGTGATGTTGGACTAGCTCGATCCCGTCAGTTCCCCAGTTAAAGTCTTGAGTTGTGAGGTTTTGATAACCTTCCTTGGTAGATTTGAATTCGGAATATGAAATTTCTTCTTCTTTTGGACTGAGATAACAGGAGAAATCCTCAGTGAGAATGTCCGCTGGAGGAATCGTTTCGAATGGAGGGGTCACAGGGATCGGAGAAGCATCAGGTATAAATGCGGACGGAGTAATAATTTCAGTGATAACCGGTGTACTTTCAACCGTTGAAATTCCGCTAAATGCTATGATAATAATTTGACCAGCCATTAAATGATAAATTTGCGAAGGGAGGAATCATTCGTACACGCTTACTCACTTTCCCTGTCTAAATCCACAGCAGAATCAAGCAATTCAGGGTCCTCTTCCTCCACGGGATCATTTCTTCTTAATCTCATAATCAGTTCGTTTGTGTGCTTGATCGCTTCTGGATCCACAGAAATTCCCAGACCAGAACCCATATTTCCAGAAGTCTGTTCAGGAGAATTTAGATGTAGAGGAGTTCCCTCTTCTTCTCCATCAGAAGGGGTGATGGTATGCGTGGGTAATCGTTGTTCCTTGTATCCACCAATGGAATCACACTCTGGAACAATACCACAACACAACACATAGCTACACATGCTATGAAATGTGCTAAGTAAGACGATGATGTGAATAATCTCCTCAATTTTCCAGGTAGCATCTCCCCTACAAAGTTCGCTAATGTGGTCAGACTCCAAACTCCAAGGTTGATGTGCTAATATGCTATTGATCTTTGCAATTTTCTTGATTTTGTCAGGAGCGTATTGCAAACCCTTGAGCCATTCAGGATCACCGTTGGCGGCTAAATATTCATTTTTCAGATGTGAAACAAGATATTGACACCTGTGCTGAGACGCAGCCTGTTTCGAGATAAACGGTGAGAAATTTTTTTTTAAAAAGAAGGACAATAGATTCAGAATAAGTGGAATGAAGTTGGAGTATGAAACAATACCATAATTCCAATGTAGTATCTGAGGGATTCGGGATGAACGCCGTTGTGGGATTTCGTCAATTCCTTATAAGCGTTTTGAAATTTTAACGTGAATGTTGGAAAATAGGATAATACTTGATCATAGTTATTTAGTCTACCGGTTTCGACAAAAGTCTTAACCATTGAATCCCGAACATCCACATCGGGGATAATTCCTTCCGAAGGTTTATCCCATTCAAGTGTGTACATTTCCTTCGGCGATATGTACAATGAAGGAAACGGGTAGACCGGTGATGGTACGGAAACACGATTACTCTGATATAATATAATAAATAAGAATAAAATAAATATAATATTCATGGAGGTTTACACCGGCCGTAAAATACTACCGCAGTACGTGACTCATGACGTTATCACTTTCACGTGACAAGCTTTGCAAGAGGGATGTCGAAAAGAAAAGAAAAAAAAAAACACAGGCTTACTGTTAGTTTTCCCAAAAGTACTTTAAAACGATTCCGAACATCCGCGAAAGGACAATTTATGGACATACGCAAGATTGTCAAAAGATGTAGCTCCAATGACCTTTCGGCTTCCTCAGCAATACCGTCGTTTAAATCACTGGCAACTTCCGGAGTGCTAAGATCACTTTGAGGAGTATTTGTGGGTGATCTCTCGGCATCAGGATTTCTTGTGCCGAACCTCGGCGAACTGTTCACCCAACCATTGATCGTATTTTCTATGGTCTCTAACGTTTCTTTACGCTTTTCAAACGATTTATCCCACAGACCTCCATAAAAGGCGACATTGAATCGCCCATCAGCCATGTGTGTATGTATAAATTTGATTGCTTGTTATGATGAACGGGTGTAAAGTAAGAAAGGGTCGATGATGGTGTGGTGGCGAGGCCTATGGGAGAATCGTGTACGGTGTGTTTCTTTAAGACAAGTCAAAAAAACAAAAAAAAATCGTGACCGAGGAAGAGGATGAAAACGTCGAGGGAGATAAAAATATGTAACAATAAAAATGTATTATATATACTTTATACGTTATGCGCAGACACAAGTTTACCCCTATCGCGAAGGAAAGAAAAAACCTGAGAAAAAAATGAGACGGCTAATAAAACGGTAGGTGTTTATATAATTTTATTTATGCGAGAGTACAAACACCATAGAAAAATCGGGAACCACAAATTATTACACAACCCCGCGGGAGAAAAAAAAAAAATGAAGTTAAATATATTTTTTCATAAAATAAACTGTCTTATTGTAAAAAAAAATATATACGTAATTGGTTATGTAAGTGACCGTGCTGTGCATGATAAAACGTCACCGTGTGTGTATACAAAGTT